TTTCTTTGATCTGGAAGTTTTGGATTTTGGGAGTTTTAATTCAGGAGGTAACCACTGGATTCTTTCTATTTCCACTTTGCCCTCTTGTTCTAAGAGATCTGAGCAGTTTAAAAATTTTTTAAAATATGATGTCTAGACATTTTTTGATCATGGGTTTCAGCTAGTCCACTCATTAAAAAAAACATTTTTTATTTTTTCCCCAATTACACATAAAAACAATTTTAGACATTCATTTAAAAATATTTTTTGAGTTCCAAATTCTTTCCTTCCCTCCCTCCCTCCCTCCCCCATTGAGAAAGCAAGCAATTTGACTCAGGTTATACATGTGGAGTCATGGAAAACATATTTCCATGAAAGAAAACACAGATCAAAAAAAAAACCCCAAGAAAATAAAGATTAAGTAAAGAAAAAGTATGCTTCAATCTGCATTCAGACTCCATCAGTTCTTTCTCTGGAGATGAGATTTTTCTTTCTCTGGAGATGATTTTTCATCATAAATCCTTCAGAATTGTCTTGGATTGTTGTATTGCTGAAAATAGCTAAGTCATTCACAGTTGATCGTCATACAATATTGCTGTTACTGTAACAATGTTCTCTTGGTTCTGCTCATTTCACGTTGCATCAGTTCATGTAAGTCTTTCTGAAAGCATCCTGCTCATCATTTCGCACAATAGTATTCCATCACAATCATATACAATATGTTCAGCCATTCCCCAATTTGATAGACATCCTCTCAATTTCCAATTCTTTGCCATCACTGAAAGAGCTGCTATAAATATTTTTGTACATATAGATCCTTTTCCTTTTTGTTTTTATCTCTTTTGGGATACAGACCTAGTAATGGTATTACTGGACCAAAGGGTATGCATGGTTTTATAGTCCTTTGGGCATAGTTCCAAATTGCTCTACAGAATGGCTGAATCCGTATACCACTTTACCAACAGTGCATTGGTGTCTCAATCTTCCCACATCCCACGTTTATCATTTTCCTTTTCTGTCATCTTACCCCATCTGGTAGGCGTGGGGTGGTAGCTCAGAGTTGTTTTAATTTGAATTTATGTAATCAATAGTGATTTAGAGCATTTTTTTCATATGATTATAGATAGCTTTCACTACTTCATCTGAAAAAATGCTTGTTCGTGTCCTTTGGCCATTTATCAATGGAGAAATGGCTCTTATTTCTATAAATTTTGACTCAGTTCTCTGTATATTTAAGTTCTCTATATATATGACTATATATATGAGTTCTCTATATATGACTCAGTTCTCTGTGTATATATATATATGTATATATATTTATATATTTGTGAAATGAGGTCTTTATCAGAGAAAGTTGTTGTAGAATTTTTCACAGTTATGATTATTAATTATGTATTTCCTTCATCCTATTTCCCTGTTCATCTTACTCTCTCTCTCTCCTTTCACCCTGTCCATTCTCAAAAGTATTCTACTTCTGACTTTTTTATCTCTCCCAACCTGTCTTCCCTTCTATCAGCCCACCTTCTTATCCCTTTCTCCCCCCCCCCCACTTTCCTGTATGGTAAGATAGATTTCTGTACCCAACTGAGTGTGTGTTATTTCCTCTTTGGGCCAATTACGATGATAATAAGGTTCATACATTTCCCCCGCCCCCATCTTGCCCTCCATTGTAAAAGCTCTTTCATGCCTCTTTATGTCAGATAATTTGCCCCATTCTACCTCTCCCTTTCCCCTTCTCCCAGTGCATTCCCCTTTCTCACCCCTTAACTTTTTAAAGATAGCTATCCCATCATATTCATCTCACACACATAGGCCCTCTGTTTATGTATACTTCTAACTTCCCTAATAATGAGAAAATTTTTAGGAGTTACAAGCATCATTTTACTATGTAGGAATGTAAACTGTTTAACCTTATTGAATCCCTCATAATTTCTCTTTCCTGTTTACCTTTATATGCTTCTTTTGAGTCTTGTATTTGAAAGTCAAATTTTCTATTCAGCTCTAATTTTTTCATCAGGAATGCTTAAAAGTCCTCTGTTTCATTGAATATCCATTTTCCTCCTGAAGGGTTATACTGAATTTTGCTGGATAGGTGATTCTTGGTTGTAATCCTAGCTCTTTTACCCTCTAGAATATCAAGAATATATCTAGAATATATTTACTCCTCAGATCCTCTAATGTAGAAACTACTAAATTTTGTATTATCCTGATGGTGGCTCCATGATATTTGAATTGTTTCTTCTTGGCTGCTTGCATTATTTTCTCCTTGACCTCTGGAAAATTTAGCTGTAATATTCTGGGAGATTTCATTTTGGGATCTCTTTCAGGAGGTGATCAGTGAATTCTTTCAATTTCTACTTTACCCTCTGGCTCTAGAATATCAGGGCAGTTTTCCTGTATAATTTCTTGAAATATCATATCTAGGCTCTTTTTTTGATTACACCTTTCAGATAGTCCAATAATTCTTAAATTATCTCTCTTGGATATATTTTCCAGGCTAGTTGTTTTTCCAATGAGATATTTCAAAATTTCTTCTTTTTTTTTTCATTCTTTTGATTTTGATTGATTGTTTCTTGATGTCTCAAAGTCATTAGCTTTCACTTGCCCAATTCTAATTTTTATAACAAAATCATTTATTTCAAAGAAAAATAAGGCTTTGAACAATTTGACAACAGAAATCCACAATTAAAGAAATCCTTATAAACACTAAGAGATGAACTGCAAACTTGCTAAATGAGAATTTCTTCACAAAATTATAATATCCTTTTATGTATGTTTAGTTTTTATTATTTTAAATAACATTTTATTTTTTCAATTACATGTAAAGACAAATTTTAATATTTATTTTAAAAAATTGAGTTCCAAATTTTCTTCCTTCCTCCCTTCCCTCCCCCTTCCCTGAGAAGGTAAGACTTTTAAATAGGTTATATATGTGCAATCATGTAAAACATATTTCCATATTAATCATGTTGTGAAAGAAGAAACAGACCAAAAGTTAAAAAAAAAAAAACACCACCACAAAAATGATAAAGTGAAAGTAGTATGCTTTGATCTGCATTCAGATTCCATCAATTCTTTCTCTGGACATGGATAGCATTTTTCGTGAGTCCTTTGGAATTGTCTTGGATCCTTGTATTGCTGAGAAGAGCCAAGTTACTCATAGTTGACCATCTCACAATGTTGCTGTTACTGTGTACAATGTCCTCCTGGTTCTGCTCACTTCACCTTGCTAAGTTCATGTAAATCTGCTGAGATCTGCCTGCTCATCATTTCTTATAGCACAATAGTATTCCATTTCATTCATATACCACAACTTGTTCAGCCATTCCCCAATAGATGGGCAGCCCCTCAGCTTCCAATTCTTGGCCACCACAGAAAGAGCTGCTATAAATATTTTTGTACATGAGGGTCCTTTTACCTTTTTTTATGAGCTCTTTGGGATACAGCCCTAGAAGTGCTGTTGCTGGGTCAAAGGGTATGCACAATTTTATAGCCTTTTGGGCATAGTTCCAAATTGCTTTGTAGAATGGTTGGATCAGTTCACAACTCTACCCACAGTGCATTAGTGTCCCAATTTTCCCATATCTTCTCCAACATTTATCATCTTCCTTTTCTGTCATATTAGCCAACCTGATAAGTGTGAGGTGGTACCTCAGAGTTGTTTTAATTTGCATTTCTCTAATCAATAGTGATTTAGAGCATTTTTTTTCCACGTGACTATAGATAGCTTTGATTTCTTCATCTGAAAACTGCCTGTTCATATCCTTTGATCATTTATCAATTGGGGAATAATTTGTATTCTTATATATTTGACTCAGTTGTCCATGTATTTGAGAAATGAGTTCTTTATCAGAGACACTGACTGTAAAAATTGTTTCCCAGCTTTCTGCTTTCTTTCTGATCTTGGTTGCACTGGTTTTGTTTGTGTAAAACTCTTTAAAATTTAATATAATCAAAATTATCCATTTTATATCTCATATGCTCTCTATCTCTTGTTTGATTATAAATTCTTCCCTTTTCCATAGATCTGACAGGTAATATCTCAGGATCCCCTAATTTGCCCATGATATCATCCTTTAGGTCTGAATCATGTATCCATTTTGACCTTATCTTGGTTTATGGGGTGAGATGTTGGTCTATGCCTAGTTTCTACCATTCTGTTTTCCAGTTTTCCCATCATCTTTTGTCAAATAGTGAGTTCTTATCCCAGAAGTTGGGATCTTTGTGTTTATCAGACACTAGATTACTGTGGTCATTTATTCCTGTGTCTTGTGTCCTAATCTATTCCACTGATTGGCCACTCTATTTCTTGTCCAGTACCAGGTAGTTTTGATGATTGCCACTTTATAATAGAGTTTGATATCTGGCATGGCTAGGCCACCTTCCTTTGCATTTTTTTTCCATTAATTCCCTTGATATTCTTGACCTGTTCTTCCAGGTGAATTTTGTTATTTTTTTTTTAGTTCTATAAAATAGTTTTTTGGTAGTTTGATTGGTATGGCACTGAATAAGTAAATTAATTTAGATAGAATTGACAGTTTTATTATATTGTCTTGGTCTACCCATGAGCAATTGATATTTTTCCAATTGTTTAGATCTGACTTTATTTGTGTGAACAATGTTTTGTAATTGTGTTCATATAGTTCCTGGGTTTGTCTTGGCAAGTGTTTTATATTGTCTACAGTTATTTCAAATGGAATTTCTCTTTCTATCTCTTGCTGTTGGGTGAGTTTTCTTTTTCAATATTATCCCTGCTGTGATGCCATCCACTGGCCTTCAACCAGTCTCCTCTTCTCTGTTGTGTCCTGCCCAGACCTGATTTGATAATAGGACTGATATCGTCTATGCTTCATTCTGGGTGCAGGTCACTTTCTTTACTGCATAAACCTAAAGGCCAGCAGGGAAATGTGGGGTTTTTATACCTAGAACCATTTCATTGTATGTGCAAGAATATAAGCTGAGACAAACTATATACAACTCTAAGGAAATCCCACAACTGAATATTTTTCTTTTTGTTGTAGCCTGGATACCTCTCAATTCTCTGTTATAACTTTGGCGTGGAAACCTACTACCAGAAGAAGTTTGAAGAGAGCTCACACTGGCTTGGGTAATATACATGACTTATTTAAGTTTGGAAGCCTCTAAAAAGTACAAGTCCAACACAGCCCACAAAACTCCTGAGGGAGGCCTGAATCAGATTTAAATGTAATTGGGAAATAGTTAACAAAATCAATAAAAATCCAATAAAACATAGAACAGATTAGGTTTGAAAACTTAATTCCCACAGGGATCTGGCCCCCAGGGATCCTTAGGTACAGTTTCATGGCCCCTGTTCCTGTTAGAGTTTGATACTACTAGGTTAAAGGACTTGGAGTCAGCCTTTTTTTTTTTTTTTTTTTTTTAAGCTAGTCAGTTATTTTGACTGGAAAAAAGAAAATCTTCCCCAATTTCAAAATCAGCATTTCTCCCCCAAAACTTGCTTCTTTAACATGTTAACATCTGTTTTTCTGTTAACATGTTAACATCTAAATTTCAAAATCTAGGAAAAAGTTTTCCCCAGCCTGCTTCTCTACTGCTGTTGGCCTACTTCCTGGAAGCATATTCGTTTTTAAAAAAAATAATTTTTATTGATGCCATTTTTAAAAGGATCATTGCCATGGTAAGGCGGCTAGGCAGTACAGTGGATAGACCACTGGGCTTGGAATCAAGAAGACTCATCTTCTTGAGTTCAAATCTGGCTCCTTCTCCCTTCCCCTACCCCCCAGTCAAATCTTACCGTTTCATAGCATATCAAATAAATACTTGCATTGCACTGATATCCTGTGCTGACTCTGGAAATGTGTTGACAATGTGCCAGACACTGTACAAGATACAAAAACACACGAGAACAGTTCCTCCTCTCAAAAAGCTTGCCTTCTATTTTGGGGAGATAGTGTATGCATAAGTATATGTAACATGGAGACAAGTCTAAGAAAATTGGGGGAGGGGCTCTAGGAGCTGGGGGTGGAATTCAGGAATGGCTTCCTGTTGAAGGTGTCCCTTGGGCAGAGTTGTGAAGGAAGCAAAGGATCCTGAGAGGTGCAGCAGTTAGCAAATGGAAAGACACAAAGTCAGGAGATGGAGGCGCATGGAGTGGGTCCTCTGCAGAGTAGAGAGGAAGAGGGTGAGGGGGGAGATAATCTGATTAGGAAGATAGCCTGGAAAGCTACATCTAAGGATCCTAGGGGTTCTGTACCATGCCACCTGAGTTTATTGAGTAAGTGGTGTAACCAGACCTTGACTTTAGGAAATCCCTTTGGCTGCAGGGTAGAAGATGGATGGGAGAGGAGAGGGATTGGAAGTTGGGAGAGCACTTGGAAGGCTCTTGGGAAGGCCTAAACTTAGGGCAAGAGGGAGAAGGAGTCAGAAGGCAGAAGGGGGCCAGAAAGCAGTCCAGAAATGCAAAGGGACTCTGTTTCCTTAAGGCATACTGTGTTCTTCTGGAGTTGGTCTCCAGAGTGTCCAGTTTAGGAACATGGTGTACCTCATTACAAAAGGCTTATAGTTTATCTTCCCATGTCCACTTCAATGACAAAAAGACTAACTATAGGAAAAATTCTTTGTGTCATTTTTGAGAAACCGAGAAATACAACTTTAGTAACAGATAATGTTCACGGGCATAGTTTATCTACATTTCAACATAGAAGTAATTTGTGTTTTGGTCCTTGGAACATACTTTGTAAAGAAGCCCAAGGTTGTGTTAATGACAATCAAAATCGCCCAACTGGGCTGATGGCACAAGCTGTTCTGCCTTTGTACGGTCAGTGTGTTCCAGAAGCCTTTAGTAGGCAGCCTTCTTTTGGTAATTTGAATCATTGTAAATATATGACAAGAGCCAACTAGTTTAACAAAGAAGATTCTGCTCTGGTGGAACCCATTTGGAAAGTGAAGAATGTCCCTCGTTCTGGGAAGCGATAACATTTGGGGGCAGAGTCCTGACAAGGGCCATGGCATCAGCCTGTTAGGAGGGAGCCGTGCCAGGAAGGCGAGACTGGGGAGGCAACAGGGATTGGAGAGCTTGGGAGCGAGCCCTTGAGCTTGCTCCCTAAAAGCTGGTAATCAAGGCATAAGCCAAGACTCTGGTTTTCTTTTCTCCCTGCCTTGTCATGTGTATCATAATCAGAAATCTTATATTGTAGAAATCTGATAGTGAAGACACTGGTGCTATAGACTAGTACTGTTTTCTCTTTGCAACCTGTATATCATAGTTACTCCTTCAGGAACAGAATAACTCCATGGTATAACTAATGCTATATAATAGTAACTTAATTATGATAGGGTTCTTTGGAAAGAGAATTGGGGGAGGGAAATAAGCCCTAGCTCTAAGAAGCAGAAATAGGACAGTGGGGGGAGCACTAGATTTAGGGGCACGAGGGGCCAGGGCTTCAAGCTTGCCTTAAATCTTGCTGTTGCTAGCTGCGAGAGCATGAGGAAGGCCTAATTCAGCTTCACGTTGTTCAGCTACAAAATGGGTATAATGCTTACCTCACGGCACCCTGTGAGGGCTCAATGCGAGAGGCGAAATAATGGAGATAATTGTATATAGAGTGCTTTGCCCTTCCTAAAGAGCTCTACAGATGGTAGCTATTCATTGTCAGCATTATTGTGTGAATACTGGGAAATGCACCATCTCTTAGGTCGTTTTGAGAATAACTCCTTCAAAGAAAGTACTTGTTTGGGTATGCATAGTTGTAGTTGTAGGAATGGTCACTGAAATCCACCAGACAGAGATAGCAATATTAGGGTGCCATCAGTGTGAGACTGTTAGAGGGTGTTGCTTCTGTCTTCCTTTTCTATCAGATGCTGACAGTGGCTGTTGTGGCCACCTCTACTTTCTCTCCTAGATCATTGGGACAAATGGGTCTCTTTCACCCCCTAGTCATCTTAGGTGATGTAATCATATGAGCTCCAGCTCCTACATCTCCCAAATGTTAGATGGATTCTTCTTCCCTGCTTTGACCTAGACTCAGAGATGTCTGAAAGCTATTGGTGAGAGACACCAGAGTGAATAACTGCTAATTCCACATTTTCTTTTGTCACTATCATACCAGAAGGAAGCCACAGGAATAGAGTGGGCTTTTGACAGATTTTCACTGCTCTTAGGGCAGTCAATCTCTTAGGAAGTGAAGTTGTTTCTGTCCTAGAATTCTAGGGGTGCACTGCTTTCATTCAATCCCTACTTTGATGCTTCATCGCAGGGGGGGCATGGCATAGATTCAGAGCCAGAAAAGGATCTTCCTGGCCATCTCACTGCCCAACATCCTTAAAAGAGAAAGCTGGGGCCTAGCGAGACTGTGCCTTTGCCAAGGTCACATGAATAGGAAGTAGCAGAAACAGGATTTAGGGTCCTTAAGTCCTCTTACTCTGAAGCACAGGATCCTTTATTCTTTCAGCAAGCATTTAGGAAGTGCCTTTCCTGAGCCAGGCCCCGCAGTAGATGCTAGGGATATGAAGACAAAAAGGAAGGTGTCATTGTAAGGAGCGTGTTACATCCTGAGGGCTGGGAACATGTGGAAACAAGATACAGATCAGTGAAGACAAAATAACCCCAAAGTAATTTCTAGGTTGGGGGCAGGGCATGAGCATTTGGGGGCATCAGGAAAGGCCTCATGGAGGAGGTGGTCCATGGGCTGAACCTTGAAGGTGACTGGACGTTTTGAAGAGGCAGATGATTCCAGGCCTGGGGGACAACCTGTACAAAGGCAGGCCACTCCCTGCCCCTCCAGCCCAAGCCTGACCTCTAAACTTCCATCCTCTAGTCACTCAGACTTGAGAGCTGGAAGGGTTCTTGGAGGTCATTTACTCCAACATAAAGAAACTGAGGCTTGAGCAGTGTCATACACATGATGGAAGGTCAGCCTGGGAGCTCCTTAATGGCAGGAGTATTTTTGCTTTGCTTTGTATCCCCAGCACTTAGTTCAGTACCTGGCATGAAGCAGGCCCTTAATCATTGCTTTTTGATTTGTTGGCTTGTGTCTGGTGAAGAACAAGTAGGGCAGTTTGACTGTTAGAGTGGGCATGAAGGAAAGTGGCATGGTGCACAATAAACCTAGAAAAGCAGGCGGAGCCAGGTTGGGCAGGCCCTTAAATGCCAGATCAAGAAGTTGGTATTTGATTCCAGAGGCAAAGGAGGGAGGCCCTGGAACTTCTTGGTAGGGTCTGCCAAGTCAGAAGGACTTCATGTAGAGGCCTAGTGATAGAAGGAGGAAGAGCCTGACTCAGTTTGGAGAGGATTATCTCCTGAGGGTTGGCCATCGTGACTCCTACTCACCCCCTTTCCATGGCCCTATAACCTGTCCCTTCTGTCAAGACTCGTTCTCCAAACTTCTCCATTTTTGATGAAACCACTACCATCTTCCCACTCACCCAGATTTGAAACTTCAGAATCCTCAGAGAATCACGGATTTAAGAGTTTGAAGCATTCTTAAAGGTCACCTCATCTAGATGCTCTCAAAAAAACCTAGAAAGATTTACATGAACTGATGCAAAGTGAAATGAGTAGAACCAGGAGAATGCTGTACACAGTAACAGCAACATTGTGTGATGATCAGTTGTGAATGACTTAGCTCTTCTCAGCAGTGCAATGATCCAAGACAACTCTGAAGGACATATGATGAAAAATGCTATCCCTCCCCAGACAAAGAACTGATGGAGTCTGAAGGCAGATTGAAGCAGACTTTTTTACTTTCTTTGTTTTTCTTAGGTTTTTATTTTGGTCTATGTTTTCTTTTAGAATATGACTAATATGGAAATATGTTTTGCGTGACTACACATGCATAACCTATATCAAATTATTTGCCTTCTCAAGGAGGGAAGTGGGGAGGGAGGGAGAGAATTTGGAACTCAATTTTTAAAATGAATGTTTTCAGTAAATGTTTTCATCAAAATTTAACCCAAAGGCTATCTCCTTACCATAAGAGACATTTCCTGATTCCCATTAGGTGTTAGTGCCAAGCCCCTGAAAAGACTTTGTATTTCTATGTTGTATGGACTCATGTGTTGTCTTCTCTGATAGAATGTTAACACCTTGAGAGCAGAGGATTTGTCTTTGTATCCTCAACATGTAGC